AGCTGATCTTAGTCGCGGAAAACAAATATGGAAGATAGTCTATTTCAAATTGCATTAGATCTAGTTCTAAATATTCTTTATCCTTTTTTCGCATTTTTACGGTAGAAAAGATATTAATCTTCTAACTTTTCTTTACCCTAAAAAATCTATTCGAAAAAGAATTGATTGATAATCAAGTAAATTACTTTTTTCATCTATTAATATAAAAATCAAAATTCCATTATTTTTCACAATCATTAGATTTTTACAATTTTTCAACAGAGTTCCAATTGAATAGTTTAGTCATGAAAATTTTTCATTTTAGCATGAGTTATCTTTTTTCCACAATTGTTCCAAAAAAAAAGAAGTGAAATCCATATGAATAGAAAGAGCAAAATGTTTCTTAATTGGTATGCTTATTTTACGTAACTGTTTATCATTTTTATTTAGTGATTTATTTTTTATTTCCAATATCATATTCGAAAGAGCATCAGACGATGCAAAATTTATTGCAAATGACTTCTCAAAATCGAACAAAATTTTTCAGATAATCTGCTGTCTAATACAGCATTTGATGGTCTTTCGAATATGATGCTTGGAAAGAAAAATTAATCATACCATATTAAAATGATTGAGTTTACAATAAATATTTTCATAAAATAAGCACTTCAATTCAGAGACATTTTGCTCGTGGAAAGTTTTTACCATCAAAATGTAGCTCATAGGATGTGACTACTTCACATTGTTATATCTCAACATTCAGGTGATAAATTTTTCTGTGAATATAGTATAAATCCTTGTTATAATTTTGATGCAAGTCGTACCCTGAAAATCAAATCTATAAGAAAATTATACACAAAATTAAGTCGTCCAAAACATATAGTCCAAGTATAGTATAGTATATATAACAGAATGATCTATTTTATAATTTATTTCAATAATCATTTAAAATGATCAAACTATATTTGTTTGAGGGAAATAGTCTTTTACAAACTTAGTAGTTTTATATTGACCAATAACATGTAAATGACACAGTTTAGGATATTCTTTGATTTTCTATATAATTTATTCGTCTGCGGTTTATCATAAATTACAGTTAAGTTTTTCATATTTGGAAATGATTGAGCAATTCGAACAAAAAATTCATATTCAAATGGATAGCCGTCATATAATGTTACTTTGACAACATATATAAATAATCCACTTAGAAAATTATTTGTGACATTACCCAGTAGTGTAAAACTTGAAAGTTGAATTCAACTATTCAACTATTACTTTAAGTATTTCAAGTATTTCAACTTCTTCAAGTATTCTAGCATGCTACAGCCCTTACCTAAAATGCTACAACCATTGTCTAAGATGTTACAGTCATTCTGTAGGATACTACAAACATCCACTGCATGCCGAAAGGGTTACCCACGATGCCACAACAATCAACCTGGATGCTAAAAGAAGTTCTTAGAATAATACAGGTTTTGCTTGATAAGCTACACAATTTATTTAGGATACTACAAGTGGCCCGTTAGAAGCCTCAGCTGATGTGAAGCACTGAGCAAAAATAATAGTGTACACAGAGACGTACATGGATCGCGGCTGTTTGGGGGGGAGGGGGGGGGGCGCTTCGCGCCTCCACGCCGCGACGCTGAAATAAAGGATGTGTTACGTAGTCCGCCACGCATCCTACTGAATATTCGGAGCATACTCGTGAAATTCAAATTTGGATAATTCACTAGCTGAATATTTCAATACTCGAACTCGAACTCGAATTTTGAATATTACATCTGTGGTTTCTGTAAGCCAGCTTTCGTAAAACCCCGTTCCTCGAACCCTAATCTGGAGGCCTTGTGCGGCAGTATAGCTTGTATGAGTCGTATTTGGTGAAACTCCTTTCGCCGCACTCTCATTGGCGAAGCTTGTTCGAATAGTTTAACTGGAATAGTTGAAATACTCGAAATAGTTGAATTCAAGTCTCAAGTATTACATGTATGGTCTGTTTATGACAGTGCTTGTTCAACCTAAGTAGCATTAATTTTTTTCTGGTTGTTTGTAAATGAATTGTGTGAAGATTTTTGTGTAACTGGTGCTCCATTAAGATATATATGTATACGTATGTATATATTAAAAACCAACAAAGTATGAAAGGTATTTGTAAAGAATATTAAGTTGGCACCTTTTAGAAACGTTGTAGATGGTACTACTTGATAATTTATCATCGTAGAGGATTGTTATGAAAACATCGCAAAAATGGTTTCATCATTAATTTCTGCTATTAAAGTCTTTCAAAATTCGACATATTACCGTTGTACTAGACGTTTTCTCAATTCTTAGCTTTCTACAACACTTCGTATACGTTTTTAGTAAATGATTTAGTTTGTCGTTATAAAAGAGTAATAAAAATTCAAGCAAAAGTTAAAAAAGGAATAAGTAAAGAAATATCAATAAAAGAACCTGAATGTTCAGATATTCATCGAAAAGTTGCAAAATACAATCCTAATAAGAATATGTAATAGTAAATGAATAATTAAATATCAATTAAATGTAGTAACAAGGTGGAATGATTTCGTCTCATTCTAAAACAAAACTTAAACGAATAAGAAAGAGGAATGAAATTTTGAAAACTATAACATTGATACACGGTTGACTTAGATACAAGTAAGTCTTTACGTTTTGTACGAATTATCTCCTGGAAGACTTATCAAATGAAATTGTAAATGAGAGACTTGTTCTTTTATTTTTATTTTTGATTTATATTTCTTCGAAATATGAATTATCAAAGAGAATATCTTCCTGAGAATATCTTCCTGAGAATCATGAGACACCTGATCATTATTGATCCATTCATTTGCTCTATATGAATAATTGTGATCGTGTAAGATGAGATTATCCATCTTCATGGATAGAATCGATGACTAGAATAAGACTGATCTAAGAAACAAAATCTTTCTGAACTTAAGAATTTTATATAATTAGTTGTTAGGTGACCCATGTAGTGAAAACCGATAAAAACTAACAGTTAATCGCAGTTCTACCGGTCCGGTTACCAGCTCCTGAAACTACGATAAACCGGTGATTTCGTGCGGTAAACTGCAGTTTACTGGTACTATTCGAGTCTAGGTTTCGTTCCTACTTTTTTTGAATATAATATTTATTTTCAATTAAAAGTTTATTTAAAAAAAAAACTACACAAGTTCATTTTAAAAAAGTCATACATAGTAAAAACAACGAAAAGCTTAGAATAAAAAAAATATCGAAAGAATTATCGGAAACATCAAAACCAGTGTTTCAAAAAATATAATGTGAAAAAATAAAATATATATAAATTTAAAATAAACTGAAAAAAATTATACATTGAATCTAAAAAATTAATCTGAAAACTGGCATGCAAGGCATAATCTAAAATAGCTCAAACCTGATAGTGTAAATTAAAAAAGTTATCTAAAATAGAATTTAATATCGAAATAGTATAAAAAGGAAATATAAAATGATTACCGCGCAAGAAAAAAGAAATAATGAATGAAAAAAAATTGTAAAAGTGGATGTAGTTTTACTGGACGCGTTATTTATTACTTTACCATTTTATCTAATGGTGCGCACGAGCAAAATGAACGAAAGCTCGACATGCACATGTATATGTATGCATAATTCTTTTTCCGATCTGTATCCTTCGTTGCTTTCTCTTTACCAGTAAACTTCATAGTGAACAGCGATATCGATTAAAACCTGGAGGTTACCGGGAAGATCAAAGGCACACCACGATTAACCGGCGGTTTTAATCGATACTGCATTTCACCCCAAAAATGTTCCGCTATTCGTGGCATAGGACTGTTTTTAATATTAAGTAGCTCAAGCAAAAGTAAACTACTCGAGATACTTACGATTTCGAAAAAAGAGTTGATTTTTTACTGGACTAGAGAAAACACAGTACATCAGTGGCACTTTGCAAATTAAAAGCAGCACTTCACTTATTTAAATAAAAGTTTCTCGTTTTCTTTCGATAACATATTCTAATTGTGGTTGGAACTGAACAGCGTTTTCTCTTTTAGTCCCATCCAATTCATCAGTGAATCTGCTAGTTTTCTTTCCAGATTTTGGATCTTCTTTTTTTACAGATATCTTTTTTTTCATTATTGCATCGTATACTATTGATTATTTAGTCTCTATTTCATATATACAGATTGTCTGAAAATTTGAGTGTAAAAGTAAATTCTTATAACTGCCTTCCTGTCAAAACACATCAACTGCTTTTTTTAATATAATAGGCATCACGCAGAAGTTTTGATTCACCAACTTTACAAAAAAAAAACGTGAAAAGATATCCGTGTGTGTCGATGATTTTTTCAATCATTTGAATTTTTGTGATGTTTAACGTGCTCAATTATTTAGGCTCATTTCATAGTTATTTTTTAGACTTCCTCGTAAAAAAAAATTTAATGTTGAAGCTCGCTAATATATCATAAAAAAGAATTTTTTTTTCTGTGAAATTTAAAAAAATGTATTTTCTATAGTTCAGTCAAAAGTGATATCATTTCATGTTTTTGTAAAGTTGATCTGCATGACTAAAACCTTCTATGGGGTGCCTGTCATGCAATAAAAAAGACGATTAATTTGTTTTAACAAATAAAGAAGTCACAAAAATATACTCTGTCGTGCGACTTTTAGGACACTCTGTACATTTGATAGTGATAGATAAATTAGAGAACTGCTTCCCAAAGCTTAAGTTAAGGATGTATCTGGGTGTGGGGGTATTGGTCATGTCTTTGATTTCATTTTCCTGCAGCCAGACCCATGACTGGACTTTCCAGATTTATTGACACACGGTCATTCGCGGAGATGCGTGTAGATGATATGAATCTTTCCGTACATGCATGAGTATTAAGCTCATCACGGCTTTACCAGAATGGTTCCTAGTCGCGTACGCATGTGCGAGAGAATTGAATAGCTTCTAGCGAATATTTTTCATCCAATTATAATTTATTTAAAAGGACAAAAGAGAAGGAATTAAAAAATCGTACGAATTGACTTTATTTAATAATAAATTTTTGTACTCGATGATTACAGTTATCAACGACATAGAGATTATCATGTCGATCGAATGATAAACTTACGGGATTATCGAGTTGATTCGACTGTGCTCCTTGATCATTTCCATCAATAATGACACTTCCTTGTGTTGCGCCTTTTGGCCAACGTATAATTCGATGATTCAAACGCTCAGTCACATAAACAGTACCCAATTGATCGACAACGACTCTTACACGTTCACTTAATTGACTAAAACTATTTCTTTTTCTCTGACCACCAGCTACGACAAAGTCTTGTTTTGCACCTCGTGCATATTTCATTACACGATGATTTCCATTATCAGATACATAAGCTGAATGATCTCGATCGATAAATACGAAGCTGGGATAATTGAGTTGATCAAGACGATTTCCTATTCCATTTTCATCTGCAACTACTGTTCCTTGTATGTCGTCAATTTTATATCGTTTCACTTCATGTTTTTCATAATTAACAACATAAAGATAACCATTGTCAATCCAATGGAATAGACATGTGGAATAACTCTTTCTCCACTTGTCTCATTGTGACAAGGCCATCGAACTACTCTTCTATTTTCGAAATCAGAGATGATGAGATTATTGCTCTCTCTATTAATAATAAACACATCATATGGCTCATTCAATTGATGAGCTCCATTTCCAGGTTCATTTCCACCAGCGGCCTCTGTACCATTCGTTGCACCAGGTTTCCATTCGACAATACGACAGTTGTTCCGATCAGTGACATATATTGTTTGATCATCTTCGACATACAAACCCCATAGATTATTGACTTGATTGGTTCCACTGCCTTGCCCGTTTTCTCCAGCAACAGTGATACCATTCTTTGCCCATGTTGCATTTGGATGAATATCAAGCATACTTGCACGTAGTGGTACTGGAATGAAACAAAACTATAGAGTAAAAATAAACATTTATGTCAATGAAAATGAATTCTTTATTTTGCTGATGATTCATGAAATACGTTTTTCTGAATGGTTATGTCATTCTTTTGGGAACTTTATTTTCTCTCTGTATTTTTTTGTTATCTCTAACTACTGTTCTAACGGTTTTAGTCAGAGGTTTTCAATGAATAACTTTTTTCTCGTATTTTTAAACAAATGAGGTGATAAAATAGTGCTTCTATGGTTTGAATATTTTACAGTTAGTAATTAAGAATAGAATCTTGATCTAGTTTTGTAAGTCTTTTAGTGATGGCCCTAACACACTTCTGAATAATGAATAAGTTAATATCATGTCTCAAAAATCGCTAAAAATGATACTGAGAATTTCTGCAATTTTAATATTGATTTCTTTGAAAGATAGAAGAATATTAGAAAAAATTTCATAAAATTTCTTTTGCTCCTTTATCTTTAGAATTGTATCTAGCAATAAAAAAGAATCAATTTTTTATCGTTTTCTATTGAAATACAACAATGTTGCAATATTTGTGATACTTAGACAGGTAGTGCCGGAGAAAGATTAATGAAGAATTAGTTTGAGTGCTTTATTTTATGACGCTGAATTTTGAAACGAGTCATAATATTTCTCAATTTTTCATTGCTATGTCTTCTTCGATGAAGATTCATAACTTCAGAATTCCGTTCAGAAGTAAAGAATGATCTAAATAGATAGCCTAATTTTTTTTTGTCTGATACGAATCGATTCTAAGCAAGTTTTGAGCATTTACAGTCAAATTTACACTTATAATACAGTTTGAGTTTTTCAAAAATTAAAATTAACTATAATTTTGAAAAAAAAAACAAAGGAAATGATCTCTGCAAGAATGGTGAGTACGAGACGTAAATTAAAAATATCTGTTGATAGATACTTTAGTAGGAAAGCGAACAAAATCATGTCACGTTTCTTTTCGATATATTTTTCTTTCAATGAAAAACGAAAATGATCTAGAAATACAAGAATATTTGATTCGATCTACATTTTTTTCACTTCCTGCAGCTTCATGAAGAATGAATTCATTTTGACACGATACTTTGATAGAGTAATAAAGTTGTAAAGTAAGCAGACTAACGCAGAGAAGAAAATCATAGTAAATTTCTTTCTGGAATTTAGAGCGCTTAGAATAACATAGCAAGAGAATCGCATCCTCGTTTTTGCAAATATTAGATTTTTTATAATTTAGTAAGCTAGTATTTTATAAAAATAAAACATAAATTCAAAATATTCTATATTTATATAATATTTACAAAGCATTACAAGTTTATTTTTCGTCGTAAAATTTGCGAAGAAGGTCACATCTTTCTTTTTTAACTCTCTTTTGTGGAAAAGTAATAGCGCTTTTTAGAAAAGAATTCATTTTATTGTATAGAATTCTAACATAAATCGTGTGGTGAAATGACATGGATGGAAAATAAGATTACAATGCTTATTTAGTTTTTGAGCTTTTGCTTCTACTAAGTCCTAATATAAGTTTATTAGTGGAATTTAATGTATTTTAAGATTATATCATTCTATTGATTGATGTGAATTTAGGTTGTCGAATGACAGGAAAATTCATTCTAATCAAACAGGCTTTAATTATTTCTGGTAACAATGAAATAAAGTGTTTGATAAAGAATAGTTGAAAGTATTGTTTTATGTCGACCTGCATACTCATAAAGAAACTTTCTTGGTCGTATCTCTACGATTTTTCTAATCTGTGACTATAAGAACAAAAATCAATGTAAAAATTTCTTAACAGTTTAGTAAAAATAGATATAGAAATACCGGATTTATTTCGAATTAAATGGCATTTTTGAAGTCGATGATTGTTAAAATCACTCACAAATATATTTCCAGTTGTGTCGAAAGCAATTGTTTGTGGAAAACCCAATTGACTTGATGCTGTTCCACTATTACCAGAACATCCAACCGAACATTCGATTCCATTGGGAATTGTCGAATGATTTGATGACTTTGACTTTCGACAATATATAGATAACCGTCCGCATCAAGTGCAATATCTGTTGATGTATTGAGTATGAAACGGATCTTTGCTGCGAAATTGGCTATTGTTTTCATATTCTTTCTACCTGGCGTAAAAAGTTGAGTTCTGTTATTACCAGTATCAGCTACGTACAAGTTAAGTTTATTGTCGACGAAAACTCCATATAGATGATCAAGCACATTAGGTATAGAACCAGAACATCCTATGCCAGCTACTACCATTGGTACAGTTTGTACATTGTTGAGTGAAATCTTTATCAAATGATGGTTATTGGTTGAAGAACGATATAAATGGTAATTCGTGCCGACGAAAACTCCTGTACACCAGCCGTGGACATTTATTACAACCAGTTGTGACGAAAAGACTCCATATATTGGTTGAATTCGTCGAAATGATTAATCCTGGAGTCGACGATCCATTGTTCCATACTAAAATCTAACGATTTTCACGGTCAGTCACGTAGACGGCGTCTTGATCATTAATGAAAAGCCCAGCAGATTTTTTCCAACAAAATTCTCTTGAGCAAATGTCGTCCCATCTTTATACCATGACGCACAAATGCTGAGATTAGATCGATTATAGGAGACAACTTAAAAAAATCAAGCAGAACTTTACTGAGTATTATTATAGGTTCCTGTGATTTCTGTGCTTATTAAAGGTATCTAATACTAAGCGTAAACTCTTTATCTATATAACATTATTCGAATTGCTTTCTCTTGTCAGAAAAGATGTAGTTTCTAAGAATAAGTTTTTTTTTCAATAAAACGATTGATTAACAGCATACAACTTAATGCTGTGTATTGTATTAAAAAAAAAACGTTATTTGAAATAAGCTACATAGCACCTAGAACTATCTGGACTTTACTTCAGAATAGGTTACAGATCAAGTGAATTCATATTGTATTAGTTTTTGAGAATATGTTTTAGCATATGTTTTAACCTTACACCAAACATTTTTCAGAAGATAAGTATCAAGCAAGCATTGGAAAAAGCTTATTTGATCTTTAAAAAGTCTTTTTCAGAGTCCATCTTCTATGTTCAGTTTCCTATGCTACAAATGCATGTAACAATCCAGCACCTAGAAATTTAATTGTGATTTGTTTCGCTCGTTCTACATTCTTACGAAAAATTTCATTACGATTAAATGCTGAAAACATTTCTTTTTTTGAAAAGAAACTCTTAAGTGTTACAGATCGCTAGTTTTTTTTATCGTTTGAATGTAATACTTATTGTGCTCAAACACCTGACAAACTTCCTAATATTCATCGATCGAACTCTTTCGTAGAATCAATTATAATGTAACTGTTAAAAATCATGTAATAAAAGAAACTCATCTTTACTGGAGACGCTGCTGATAACCAGGTATATTATCATGAATCAAAGAGTAGACATTGTTGTGCAACTTTGGACTCTGTTCAATCATCATGCAAATGCATATCAATGATGTGAGCTATGTCTTCATATAATATTCAGCTTTTTCATATATTATTAGTGTAGCATACGAGATAAATCAATAAAACTTGTTGCTTGTAATGCTATATTACAAATTTTCAGTTGTGAGTCTGACTGTTATCTGATCTTCAAAGTAGATAAGTGTATAAAAATTTTTCTTAAATAATTACATGAATTTCAACCTAGATTTTTGTTACAAACTCAAGTTGAACTTATGCAAGTCCTTGAAAACTAGAAATCTAACTAAAAGTTGCTCAGTCATAGTGCCGACCCAGCTAGCATAGTGCTGAAAAAAACTTCATAGCATTTCAAATATGAATTTGATGTTTGTAAGGAGTAGTATAAGCGGTTGGAATTATTATTACTCGTATGAAGTCGGTGCCAACATAAAAGAAGAGTACTGAACAGAGCTATTGAAATTTAAGAGTTTCGATCCACAGACTTTTCAGTCGAAACTTTTGGTTCCTGGTTGAATCAATATCATTGAATCCTAAAAATAGATATCATTATGCTGTACACAGTGTTACAGTATGTGAGAGTGTCTATAGTGAGAGAAGACTTAGTTTAAGATCCAAAACTTGAAGATGTGGGTGTGGGTCTTCTGTCATCTCGGCACGAAACCCATACTCACATCCCACATCCTCATGAATAATAAAACCTACTACTAATAAATAAATACCAAATGGACAGAATCTTGTTCAAATCATGCATACCGGAATAGACATTTTATGATCTGTTCGGAAATGCAGTTCGTGCTAATAAGGAAATATTGTCAACGTATGTTTGATAAAAAAAAAGTATCCAATCTGTAGATGCTTCGTTTCAATTCCTTTTCATGTATTCTAAGTATATCGATTGAGATCCATTCGATATATCTAAAAAATTAGAACTCATACCTAAAATATGGCAATCTATATGATAAGATATACACGTATGTCGTGTAAATCTCAAGGACGAGATAGAACAGTCTATGTCGATTTTCGTTATGTAATGATCATTGAATCTAGGCGTTTAGATTATCAATCAGATCTTGCTGCATGAAATAATTCGAAATGATAGACTTTGAATATTGACTAGCAAGAACACATTAATAACTACTGGCAACTATCGAAATCATAATGGCACTGATTACTATATAAATAAAATCAAGACAAGGCATCTACTCTTGGCATAGATGTTTTTGTTGTTCGATAAAAATCATGGCTTACAGTTTTGCCTTCGTTTCATGAAATATTTTTCATTCATAGTTGGTACGGCTAAAATACATGAAGAAAAATAACCTTTTTTTTCTTTCTTTCTGTTCGGCGGAATGAGAAAAACGTTTTCGATCAATCAAAAAAAAACGATTCTTTTATTTTTTATTTTTTGTATCAAGTCAGAAATAGGGTGTGATCACTCATGTATATTTATTTACTGTCAAATGTTTTCATACAGCGACGAAACATGATGTTATTCCGATGATCATTTCATAATAAAAATGCTTATCACAGAGCATGGAGTATCAAAAGATTACTATCGTTACACCGTTTTTGCTTATAGGTTTTATATTTCGAAATGTTTTTGTTTTAGAATAAAAATCCTATCTAAAATGTAATGTACTGATTGTTATCGTGAAGCTATGGATCAAAATTTATCTTCGTTTGATTTGACAATTTTTAACTCGTCGGAAAAAGATTTGGATCATTCAAATGGAATATTATTGGCAATTGATACTGAAGATGTGCATTTATTTGTACCATTAGAAAGAATGAACACTATTAATATTAATTCGCTTTCGCTGAATGATCAAGGTCAACAAAATCCCATAGTGAAACAAATTCAAACTCATATGTCTCTTCTAACGTGTCCATGTGAACTAAATCAGTTCCACAATCGAATCACTGAAATAATTCAACAAGTATTGGATCATATTACAACGACAAATACAAATAGAATAAATGAGAATAAATCGGTCGTTGACAAACAACATAAACTGCAAAATTCTTATTTTATAAAATTGAAAAGAGATGAAACTATAAATAGTTCTATTCTTGCAGAATCATTTGTCAATTTTTATGAATACGAAAGCAAATCGATAGAGTTTCAAACAGAAACTGACCTTGCCGAACAAATGAAGTCTAGAGAATTTCAAACTCAAAAATTATCATCTTATGCAGTACAATCTTTGATATCTTTAATATTAGTTCTAATCAAATCGGTAGAAAAAACGGATCCACTAATCACGAATGAAATACTAAGCTTGACAAATCAACTTATTGAACAAATTCCAATGCAATACATGTTGTCTAATGCATATAAAGATTCGAGTAATTTATTGAAATCGATAAAACCTTTGATGGATTACATCAGTGAATTAACAACACAATTTGAAATCGATTCATTGTCAGCCAAACAAGCTCTTAAAATATTATTAAAGTTTTCAATTATGAAAACATCATTGAAAGATATTTTATTTGTACTCAGCAAGTTAATTTTTGATACAACTGAAATCAACGATGCACGAGAGTTATGCCTGGAATTCAGCACATATTTTACACAGATCATTGAAGAATTAGAACAAAGAATACATGATAAAACTGAAATGACTATGACAATGGAAGAACAAAACGAAAATAACGATGTTGGAGAATCTGAAGACAATCATAAAACACTTAAAGAAACAGATCATAGCGGTAAGATCATATCTCACTTAAGCCATATCTTTGAAGAAGAGAGTATCCACATAAAATCAATTTTTCGGATGTATTAATCAGTAGAGACAATAGTATCCTTTCTAAAGTTCGTTTTTTTTTCATGTAAAAAAAAATGAGAACTATCGTAACGTATTTAGGAGAAACATCATCAATCACTATTAAATCCGCTTCAACAGCACTTGAATATTTAAAATCTATTGGTGCATTTCCAAGTACGCAATTAATACTTTTGAATAAAGAAAAATTCACTGGACAATTCTTATCATCAATATTACTGGCATACATTGATCTTCATAATCATATTCAATCAAAGTTATACTTCGAAAGCGATTCACTTGATGATTTACTTTCATTCGAATTTCATCCAAACACATTTAAACAACTGTTTGATCTAATAGAACGACTGATGATAATACAATCATCATCAAATACAAGTCTAGTCTACATATTAGGTGTATGTCTTCGATTACTTACAACGCATTTATACTTTTTTAAAATATCAAATATTGAAAATTGTCATATATTTGAAATAGATGAAAATTTTCAAAGGTATTTTGCATTAATCTTAAAATTAGCTTTGGATTATCAATCAACAGCCATATGTATAGAAGCGTCGAAAGCTTTGATTTATTTGATTGATAAACAAATATGATCATTTGCCAATAAAATATCATTCATGTATAAACATATCGTTGAAAATAAGCATCCTTTATTCGTTGAGTTATTATTAATAGAATTGTGCAAACATGTCACCTTACAAAAATGGATCGATATTCTATGCAATGACAGTATCCATCATGAAGAGAAAATAATAGCATCGACAATATTACATTCATTTATTGACTTTTGCTTAAAATCAAGCTGTACTAAAGGAAAAAAAAGCAGATTTATTACAACAGATATTATTGATGTTTCAAGAATTATTATTGATTCGATTGAATAATCAATCATGTGAGATTTTCGATGAATTTGAATCTTCTTCGCTAATAGATCTTGTGATTAAACATGCAACTCAAATAATCACATATTGTACAGAAACAACAGTTGCCAATACTTTTCTAAAACCATTTCTCATCGGTTTATCCAAACTGACAGAACCAAAATTCAAATTTAAAACAATTCAGCCAATCTTCATTGAAATTGCACCAATACTTGCGAAATATCTAATACAAACGACAAATATCGATGATAACACAAATACGAATTTAATTGTTGTACTACTCGGAAAAATGAGTCATCGTCTTCTTGCTGGTTCTCCACAGGATTCATTGGAAAAAAAGCACAACGATATATTGAAGTTACCGTTGTTTGCTAGTGGATGTGAGGAAAGTATTACGCAAAATAATTCTTATTTATTGACTTTATTCAAGTCCAATTTGTTCGTCTATAGTCAATTTCAATTGATCAATCCAATATCACAAACATCGTCGGACAATGAGTTTTTAATTTCTATTTATAATAATATTGATCAAGGTGCACAGTTGATATAAAAAATGAACATGTTTTTGAAAGATAAGCAATGCATATTACCAAAGTCCATTGAACAGCAAGCAAATGATGCGTTTGCTGCTGTGTTTGCAGTCTATATCAAGTATTATCATTGCATTAGTCTAGCCAGACATGAATTATCTAAGCCAATCTCTGAAAAGCCTCATGATAAACTCTTATCCATTTATGAATATGCCAGTTACATTCAAACCGTATTGGCTAATATTGATGATTGTAATCAATTATATAAACAAATCAAAATAAAGACACTAGTTTTACTCGAATCAGTTAAGAATAGTTATTTTATTTCTACGATTGAAGAAGATTGGTTGGAAGATACATTTATGACAACAGTTAAACAGTTAAATAATAAAGATTTTGAACTGAAACGAAACAAGCCATGTTTGACAAAGGCAGCATATAGAATTCGATTACTTAGAAATACTTTGCGAGCGTGTATTCGATTGAAAAAACTGATGCTGGTAGGGAAAAAAGCTGTTGAACAGAGAAAAGACAATGAAAGCATGTTACATCAAGCGATTACTACGTATCTGTATGGAAATAATACCAATAGATTGATTACCAGTGAACACAACAATATTGCATCTGATGAACTGATCAAATGTTTGATTCAACAGCATGAATGTGCAACGACACGATTGATTACCTATCGATTTATTCATACATTTCTCGAAAACATTATTAAAATAAAAGATGAACATCAAGCTCACGTTATCCTAATTGTTCTCTTATCATATATGAAAAATTACAACTCTGATTGGCACTATCTTGAAAGTATTTCAGCATCGAATATTCAGTTAAAACAAGATATTAGACAGAACTACTATTTAATTATTTATAAAGTGGCATCACTTATTCTACATTCAATGTCGAAGTCAACAATGAAAAATTTGTTACTCTCCAGTTTGTTTCATCTAATGAAAATACACTACGAATCGATAGATTTCTTTTATATACAAAATGTTCCATTTGTTGAAACATTCTTTAAATTGTTTGTTAGTTTTATTCATCCTGTTGTAATTGTTTCACTGGATATGAAATTCATGGCTTACAATTGGTTTCGAATGTTTATATTAGAATTATGTGAAAATCTTCACATAGAACAATTAAACAGAAATTCGTTAGATAATTATAAATGTCATCGATTGCTACAAAAAAGATTAAGTTCAATTTTTAATACATTGATTCTAACTGAACTAAAACAATTAAGAATATCAAGACAAACATCGATTCCAAGTGAAGAATGCCTAAATTCTTCTTTGCAGAATGCTGCTCTAGGTTGGTTTCTTGCAACAGGAAAGAAATCATCATCAACAACAACAGATCATTTATCATCGACAGCTGCCATCGATCTCTGTATCACTCAGTTATTAATGCTTCTACTTCGTTGTATTCATTTCTATGATCATATTCGATCAATATGTGCAACAACTGATTACATCCAAGAATTATTAAACATTTTTCATAACAATCAACAGGGTGTGGGTGTGGGTGGGTGTGGGTGTGGGTGTGGGTGTGTGGGTGGGGTGTGGGTGTGGGTGAGTATGTGGGTGTGGTTGTGGATGTGGATGTCTCTTTTTTCTACCCGCACCGACACCCACACCCACACCCACCCCCACCCCCACCCCCCCCCCCCCCCCCCCCCCCCCCCACCCCCCCCCCACAC